TTTATTTTCAAAGTTTTTTAAGTCCAGTCTGGCTCTTTTGGAAGAGAGAATCTGTCCTGCTGTACTGAATAGTATTTCAATAGTATTTCAATAGTATTTCAATAGTCTTTCAATAGTCTTTCAGTAAGGCCATGGATGGTGTGTATCTTCTGGCTGACTCTTTGCGGTAGAATCCATTTTGGGTGTGTTAGTGGTGCTGCGGGTGTGCCCAGCTCAATGACTTCTTCTTGAAGGCAGGTCTAACATTACCTGACCACTTTGCAGTGATTCAATGGACCAATTCCCCTCTCACCATTGATTACTTTAATTACCGGTAACAAACAAATTAAAAAGCTGCAACGTGAATGTAACTTGTAACTTGAATTGCACCACTCAAGGTGGCTGCATGTTGGAGCAGCTCTGTTACTTTCATTCTGAGATTTTGCTTTTGGAAACTTTAATTCCTCTTTTTCTGGATGTAAGTCATATTTTTTGGATGATTGTTTCCTCTGGTATCAGATGCTGCGCAGCTGGAAGGATTTTTACTGAAACTTTTTTAGTTTTGGACATTTGTTATGATGCGTGACCATGGCAACAAGGAAGTTTTCTACAACCAACAGCAGCTGATTAACATCTCAAAAGCTCAAATAATAACTCAGCTACAGCCCCAAATCTCAAATGAGTTGAAAGGATGTTCTGTGGATGCATTCTCATCTACCTGCCAGCTGTGCTCGAGTGCCTGACCACTGAGATCCTGGAACTAGCAGGAAACATGGCTCATGACAGCGGAAGGACAGGATCGTCCCTCGGCACCTACAGTTGTCTGTCCGCAGTGACGAGGAGCTCGGCAGACTGCTGGGAGGAGTGGCCATTGCACTGGGAGAAGTTCTGCCCTGCATTCGGGCGGTCCTACAGTCCGGGGGAACCGAGAGGCCAGCTGAGTCTGGGTGGACGGATCGGACGGCATCTGCAGCCAGTTTCTTAGGATCCACTGTGGGATGGACCTTTACAAGAGATCCTTCCTGCCTACAGCCATCACTATCTATAACATCTCTTAATGAAACGAGGATAATGAGTTACAACAACAAATAATTTCCCTTAGGGATTAATAAAGTATTTTTGAATTGAATTGAAGTGAATTGAACTCAACGCATAATATACTGGATATACATAGAAATGTAGTGTAGTAGAAAGTACAGATACTTCATGTAAAATGTAGTGGAGTAAAAGTCAAAAGTACCCACGTTTAACTCTAAAGTAAATTACAGATACATGAAAAATGTACTTAAGGACAGTAATGAAGTACTTGTACTTAGTTACATCCCACCACTGCTGATAGCTACACTCCAAAATCAACTTCTCTAGACCCTGCATGGTTACCTACTGTCTTTATACATTGGTGTTGTCTTTTATGTAGCAAACCAGACCAGAGGGTCGCTGCTCTGATGATTAGCAAGGCCCCATCAATCCTCGGCTGTCACTTGTCTTTGTCTTTTACAACCCAAACACAATAAAATGTTTATAATGCCCTTTTGAGGCTCGTAATTCTTCTGTTTTGAATTGCTTCGCAGTGCTTCTTTGCTCCTCACTTCCTGATCAAAAACGCATTTCTCTTCTCAGCACTACAGCAGAGTATTTCTGTCTCTTCAGGACATAAATAAATAAAAATCATAAATTTTACTGCATCTGTTAGCAGGTATTTTTTTCATACTTTTTCTTCGTCTTACTTTTCTGCACAGCTTCAACCACAGAAACTGTAAAATCTGAAAGTTAACGAGCATTGCACGCAACAAAAAGGCTTAAGTAACCACTGATTAGAAAGTAGCGAAGTGGCTTTCATCCATGCCATGGATCCATGGACCAGATCTTTATCCAGTACAGAGCTGCCGAGGGGGTCATGGGAGTTTGACTCTCTGGTCTACATGTGTTTTGTGAATCTGGAGAAAACTTTTGACCATTTTGTGGTGGTTCGATGTAGAAGTATAGTGTGCAGAGGCTGTTTAAGGGTAATTTAGTCCATGTAAAATCAAAACAAAAACTGTATCCACATTTTTGGGGCAAAGTCAAGCTGGTTTCTGGTACAAACTGGACCCCACCAGTGCTGCCCCTTGTCTCTGATCCTGTTTTTAGTGTTCATGGACTGGAGCTCAAAGAGCAGTCATGGAGAGAAGGGTGTCACATTTGGAAACCTTATTTATTGTTCATTTTTTTCTGAATGATGTGATTCTGTCAGCATATATGAACCATAATCCTCAGTGTGCACTGGGTGGTTTATAGCTAGACGTGAATCAGTGAGGGTCAGCTCCTCTAAGTCTGAAGCTACGTTTGTCAACCGGAACAATGTCCAACACTCTCACAGATGCTGCACTCCAAAGTTGGGGGGTGATTTTTTTGACACTCGTGAAGGAGTTGCAATATCTAAGATTCTGTTCTTGAGTGACGGTCAGATGGACTGGGAGACAGACATCAGGGTCTCTGGTGTAATGAGGGTGTTGCTCTAGTCTGAAGGGCAAAACGCTCCATGTTTCAGCCCTCACCAAGTTTTTTTGGTCTTTAATAAAATAACACAAATAAATTTCATCTAGAGGATGACCATGTTCAGATTTAGAGATGAGGTGAGAAGTTTCATCATGAAGTGGTCTGGGCATCTGATTAGGATGCCTTCTGAACATCTCACTCTGAGCAGACCCAGAACCTGCAGGAGGGGTTGCATATATTATTTGACCTGCGAATGCTTCAGGATTCCCCAGGAGGAACTGGAGAGTCACTGTGGAGTTGGTTACCTCTGAAACCCGAGTTTAGATGAGCTGAAGAACATGGATAGAAAACTTCTACTGGATAAACCAGGAGGAGGATTTTAAAAGACAACGTTCCCCACAACACATGAGAGAGATCCCAGTGCTTGAAGCTACTTGCTCTGTTTGTTGAAGCTGTCCGGAATGGTCTCCATCATGCACTGTCTGAAACCTGAGCTTTGTTGTTTTTGTTATAAGTTTCAGATAACCTCAGCGTCTCCTTCCATCATTTGTGAATGAAAAAATACAACCAAAATTTATACATGTGCATAACATATGTGTTATGTTATATTGTAATGTACATGTTTTACTTACAAAATGTTAAGGCACGACTTTGAAAATAGTTTTTATTTATTCTTTCAACTTGGACAATAATTTTCTCCTTTGAGTAGTTCCATTTAATGAATGGAGGAAGATTCTTGTAGTTTCTTGGTTTGAGCACAGATTGTGGGAGTTTCTGTGATCTCTTAGGACGTTCGAAACTACAAAACATAAGAAATGGCTGCTAATTTTCAAGCCTGAGATAGCATCAGCCATTTTTACCATTTGAGATCTCTGCAACATTCACTGGGGTGTATTCACAAAATAAGAAAGAACGAGCCATCTCATGTCCTTTATATATTTAAATGTGCTTTCTTAAAAACAGCTGGAAACTTCTCTGTCACCTTAGCAACAGCAGCAGTCTTTGTAAACATCCAATACATTCCTCAGAACAAGTTCAATTTGCTGAAAGGCTTGGAAACTCTTTTTGTTGCTGATGAATCTACTTTACAGACGCATAATGGTGGGCTTCTTGTTCTTGTATTTTGTTTTTGTAAACGCTTAAAGCCCCTGGCTGCTGTGTTCATGTATTGACTCTGTGTTATAGGTGGTCTGAAGAGTAACTCTTAAAATGGAGCGCTGATTGGTTAAGGTTTTGCTCAGCTGCTTCTCATTTAATTTAAACTTGTGTGAGCATGCTCTTTATTAGAATTTTTTTTCATTCATTCAACCTTTATTTATACAGGTTAGTCTCATTGAGTCGCAAGGACTCATTTTCAGAATTTGGCACCGGTTTGAGATGGACCAAGTCAGACTGAATGATGTCAAATGCACACTGTAGAAGCTGGAAAACATTGGCAACTGTGTTAGCTCGACGATAAACAATTGTATCATCAGCATAAAGATGCAAAGCGGAGTCAGGAATGTTTTGACCTACATTACAAATTGTAAAGAGACTGGGTCCTAAAACTGAGCCTTGTGGCACACCATTATTGACATTAAGCTAGAAGTTACATTGTGTTGAACACATTGCCTTCGACCTGAGAGATAATTAGAAAATCATCCGATAGTGTGATCTGAGAAACCAATATCTGAGAACTCGTGACATAAGATGTCGTGGTCTACAGTATCAAAGGTTTTGGACAGGTCTAGATAAAGTGTGGCACAGTAATCCTTAGCATCCAGTGCTGCAACAACATCATACAGGTATTCAGCGAAGCAGTCACTGTGCTGTGCTGTTTCGTGAAGCCAGATTGGTGGGAAGATAAAATGCTATAAGAATCCAAATACTTCTTAGTTTGATTATTTAACAGTTTTCTAATACCTTAGCTAAAATACAGAGTTTGGAGATTGGTCAATAATTGTTCAATATAGTCTCCTCCCTTCAATAATGTAAAGCCAAAGTTGTTTTCCAAGCATTTGGAATGGTATTTTGTTGTATGGACAGAATAAAAATGTATGATACCAGTTCTGCTATAGATTGTGCAGCTAACCTTAATAATGAAGAAATATGACACCCCCACCGCCCTCCCAACGCTGAACCTTACCACGTCCTGTTCTAAAGTTGAAGAAACGTGGTTGATTGTTATATAAAACAACAGTCTGTTGCTATAATTCTCATTTAAGACAAAAAGTTTCAGGAAAAACAGTATTTCTCTACTGTGTAATCTATGCTTTTCAAAAATGGTATAAAACTTTTTATTTATGTACTTATGTATTTAATTATTATTTTTCCCCTTTCTCCATCCTAGGGTTTTTTTTGTTGTTTGTTTTAGTTTTTTTGCAGCTCTTCACACTTCAGCTTGTACCATAACTACGCCGGCTCTGTGTTGTTTGTTCTTTTTTTATATATATATAAATTTAAAAGTTAACAAAAAAAATTGTATAGATGCAAAAATGAAACTTTGAACAGTGAGCGCCCAGCGTATACTCTATTCTCAAGTGTAAATGTGTCTTTGTTTACAGGTATGGAATGGATTGTCTGATTCAGTTTGAGGACTTTGCAAATGTTAATGCTTTTCGTTTGCTGAGCAAGTACCGCAGCAAGTACTGCACATTCAACGATGACATCCAAGGTAACTTCAAAGTCAATCACATGCAAACAAGAAAAAAACTTTACCACTTAGAGACTCCACAATATTAACTGTCGCTTCCACAATTATGCTTCTGAGACTTCTGGTGTCATGACTGTGCAAAAAGACCAAGACTTTAATCTCAAATGCCTAAAAGTTGATCCTTGGGAGAAAAAAAAAGATTTCCCAAAAAGAAACTAAAGATTACATTAATTTAGCCTCAAAACTACAAGGTTTGAAATTATAATTTATTTATTAATTAAAGACAAATCCCACTGAGATCGCAGATCTCTTTTGCAAGGGAGGCCTGAACCTGAGAGCAACCTAACATGATGTTGGAATAGTGCAGTGACAGTTTCCACTCATTACTTTGATTTCAAACGTACATTAATGCTTAGTTTGGGTTGTTTTAAATGATTCCTGTGACATTGTCAGTTCTTGGTGTCTTTCAGATGACAAATGTCAGTCTGACTCAGAATTTCACATGAAAGAGTCAACTAACAGCTACTCAGACTGAGACTTATAATCCAGAGTGGATTTTTACCATAAATAACAACTCAAACGTCTAAAATTGTTCAACAGCTCAGGTGAATATTTTGTTGAAAACCTCCACTGTGTCACTTCTGCATCAGACGGTTCCTTACAGAGAGATCTCTGCTCAGTCATATTGAAGACTGGCTGGGCATCTCTTATGGTCATTAGATACACCCCTGTAATAACCGTCACAACAATCTGAAGTTAAAAAAATAAAAGTGGTCTAAATTTCTAAAATTTAGCATTTGCTTAAACGGCGGTGAAACCTTGTGAGTTTTTTTATTTTAGACGGCAGAATTCCACTCAAGAAAATAGACACTGTTGCTCTCACCTGACAATTTAACCTGATCCTTCAAACTGAAATAGCTTAAACTGCTGTCTGCTGCAGGTAAGATGCTCACTACAGAAAACGCCACAAAATCCCACTTACTAAAATTGTATTTGTCAGCAGCTATTTATTTAACCTCGGCAGATGCAGGGAGTGGATACTTCATTCAAAAATAGTTTTGTTAAAATAAGCTTTGCATGATGGTTAAAAAAATGATTCATTATCAGGATATTTGGTATAAATCTACAGCAACAAAGGAAATTGTCAGAGCTGCTAAAATTCTATAAATAATTCCAAATACATTATTAAAACTTGAAAGGATTGCAAAAACTATAATTTTATTGATCAAAATTCTTGCCTTATGATCTGAGTCAACTGGCTCTGAGCATAAAAAAATGACTTCTGGTTGCACTCAGACTGTGTTTTTACTTTTTTCACCCTCATTCTTCACATTTAGTATTTACCATTTTTGAGGCAAGAATTAAGCAATGCAATTGTTCATTTTTTATTTTTAGAAACATTACAATATTCCAGTTTGTGTAAGCAATGCATTCTGCTGCGCCTTTGTTTATTTTATTGTTTCTCTTTGCAAGTCAAACTAAATTATAGGGAACATATTTTTAAAAAATGGCAGTGTAGCCATTTATGCTTTCTTACTATATGTCAATAACATATCAAATAAATGCATTATATGTATCAAAATAAATGTTTTTCTCATTACAATCTGTTAGGCACGGCTGCAGTCGCAGTAGCTGGACTCCTGGCTGCACTGCGCATCACCAGAAGCAAAATGTGTGACCACACCATTGTGTTCCAAGGAGCAGGAGAGGTGAGTGCAGCACAGATGCACAATGTAAATAATAAATCAACAAAAACTCCTTGTTTCTGTGTAAAACTTGTTTCTACCTGCAAAAACTATTTAGTTTCATTTTAGAAAGCAGAGGTTTGAACACAGACTTGAGGGACCGTGGGCTTGGTTATGTCACAGCACGCTTCTTTAAAATAAAAAAGATCACAAATTCCCAAATACTTATTTGTGACATGTTTTGTTGTATAAGATGTCAAAATAAGCTCCTCTTCTCTTCTGTCTCGCTCCCAGGCAGCGATGGGGATCGCTGAGCTGATCACCATGGCCATGAAGAAGGAGGGCCTCACCGAGGAGGAGAGCTTGAAAAAAATCTGGATGGTTGATTCAAAGGGACTCGTCGTTAAGGTGTCAGACTACACAAACACAAGCAGAGCTGCAGTTTAGTTTTTATTCCACTGAATATCTTCTAACATGCTTTAACATATATGAAACAGCCCACATTATCTGTCAGCTGTAAGCGATGCACCGACTGCACCAGGAGTTTAGTTTTAGTGATAAATCAGCTGACGTTTTCACTTCCATCTTTTTAATTTAATTTTTATTTTTATTTCCTTCTCTTTCATTCTGTTACCTGTTAAAGACAGTTGATTAAGAACGGAGCTCACTTGGTTATGGTTGGGAATTCATTACGGTCAGATGTTAACGTGTACAAGTAATTATGACGTGTTTCAGGTTGCCATGCCAACACAATTTAACCTGACTTAACTGCTGCTGTTATATCATCTTAAATGACCCTGCAAGTTCAGAAGTGTCACTCGGAGCTGAAGCCCAGTGAAAGCAGAACCAAAAAATAGAAAATGCAGAGCTGGGCTGGGAGTGAGAGCAGACTGGACTGTGAACTCAACCAGAATTTAAAAAAATCAGTGTTTAATGTTTCATTTGGAAATCTTCAGTGTTGATGTCGTCTTGTTCCTCAGGGTCGAGACCACCTGACCCATGAAAAGGAGAAGTTTGCTCATGAGCATCCTCAGATGAAACGACTGGAGGATGTGGTCAGAGAGCTGAAACCCACAGCTATCATTGGTAAGACAACAGCCAATAATCAGTTTGCAGACTTCTTTAGATAATTTTAAGTTTCTGACTAAACACAGTATTAAAGTTAAGGCACTGCTGTGAAAGCTTCAGTGTGAAATGGAGTGAAATATGTCAGACAGTAATGGCCTTCTGTCTCAGGTGTGGCAGCTGTTGCCGGAGCCTTCTCCGAGCAGATCATCAGGGACATGGCTTCCTTCAATGAGCGACCCATCATCTTCGCTCTCAGCAACCCGACCAGCAAAGCTGAATGTACAGCTGAGCAGTGCTACGCGTTCACTGAGGTGCTCAGACCTTCACAATTACATTTCAGTACATGGCAGTGAATGTATTTTGTTTTTCTGTAACAAATGCATGTTTTTATCAGTGGTTCCCAACACTGGTCCTTGAGGAACACCATCTTGCATGTTTTAGTTGTTTCCCTTCTCCAACACCTGATTTAGTGATTTAATTACTTCATGTTCTGCAGAAGCCTGTTAATCACCATTAATTAAAATCAGGTGTGTCAGAGCAGAGAAACAACTAAAACATGCAGGATGGTGTTCCTCAAGGACCAGGGCTGGGAACCCCTGAATTCTAAACTACTTTGTTCTGCAGGGTCGTGCCATTTTTGCCAGCGGCAGTCCATTTGACCCTGTCACCCTGCCTGATGGGAGGAAGCTTTACCCTGGGCAGGGCAACAATGCCTACATTTTCCCCGGTGTGGGCCTGGGTGTCACTGCTTGCACTTTACGACACATCACTGAGGATATCTTCTTGACTGCAGCAGAGGTGAGACACTGACATGTGCAAAACTCACAATGACTCACAACAACCCATGCAGCTGATCTCTTGCCTTTAGGCTGCTGCATTCATATTCATACCTATCTGCTCACTACAGACTCATGTAGTGAGCAGTTGTTAAGCTGCTGTTTAATATACAATATTATTTTACTTTATTAGTGTTTTGCGTATATCTTTCTTAGATTCTTATATACTGTTTCTTTTTATACTTTATATTTTTGCTATTGTTGGATGTAACTGGGACCCTGAGTACACAATTTCATTCCACCTCATGTACCACATGTGATACAAATGACAATAAAAAACCTTGAACAACTGTGTTAGATGTTTTGGGATATTTTGTAGCAAAACATTATTTTATTCTGTCTTTTTTCATGGCTGAATGATATGATGTAAATTCAAATAAATATTCGAATTGAGAACAGAACTGAGGCAAAGCTTTATTCATTCATCCTTTATTTATACAGGTTAGTCTCAATGAGTCACGAGGACACATTTAAAGCGAGACATGTTTTGAACAAACAAAGAAAAATCAGATGAGGTACACACAACAATAAACGATCACAAAAAGCATATAAAATGAAAAGTAAATAAGAGTAGCGATATAAAGCAAAATAAAAGCATGCTACTAAACAAGCTAGCTATTAATATGCTGTGCTTATAAAAGTGATATTAGCTACCTATGGGGCGGCTGTGGCTGAGTGGTTAGAGCAGTCGTCCTCCAATGCAAGAGTTGGGGGTTCGAATCCACCAGCAGTCACATGCCAAAGTGTCCCTGGGCAAGACACTGAACCCCTCATTGCCTCTGATGTGTGTCCCATCAGTGAATGAATGTGATATAAAGCACTGATTAGTCTCTTTAGAATGATTTGTTCAATTATCTTTGTAGAGATCTAGAGTGCTGTATGAATGGGTAAATGAGGACACAGATTGTTGTAAAGAGCTTTGAGTATCTGGATAAGATAGAAAGGCGTTACAGTCCATTTACCTGCTTGTTTTTCTAATACTGACTTTACACAGAATGTCTCTATATATCCTATAAAATAAAAGTAGTTCCTCTGACGTGCTGTGTTTACATGATTATGATGATGAGCTGCTTCCTCACCATTGTTCAGGCTCTGGCTCAGTTGGTGACAGAGAAGGACCTTACAGAGGGAAGACTGTACCCTCCTCTCAGCTCCATCAGGGACGTCTCTCTGAAGCTGGCCGTTAAGGTGACGGCACACGTCTAAAACCTGAATCTGATCATGATGCACTGTCACACCAGCTGAAGTGTAACTTCTGACTGCCTGTGATTACAGATAATGGAGTATGCTTATGAGCACAACATGGCCACCCTTCGCCCCGAGCCGTCTGACAAAGAAGCCTACGTTCACTCGATCTGCTACAGCACCGACTACGATGACTTTGCTGTCGACTCGTACCGCTGGCCGGAGGACTGCATGGCTGTGCAGTCCTGCAAACTTTGATCCTCAGAAACCACAAGAGCCCTGAAAAATGATGTGCACTGTTCTTGGAAGACATGGTGATCTTTTCCTGCACTTTAAATTAAATGCTGACAACACAAAGAAGATCAGTTGGCAGAACTGTAAAGGAATGCACAAATGGTTGTTTTCACAGCATTTAAAATATCTGGGGGAGTCTCTTTGATTGTACTGTGATGGGAATTCACTGCCTGTGTCTGCTGAAATCTTAGATAAGAAAAGCTTTTGCCAAATAAAGTTTTGTTTAAAAGTCTTATGTGTTGGTTTTCAAACACTGTTTTTATTAATTTATTTGATTTGCTGCATTGCAAACCACTTTTCAGGGCATCGTGTTAAAGTTTTATAATACTCTGGCTCCATCTAGAGTCCAGTTGTCAGTATAAACCCTTGTGTTCAGCTCAAATTTGACCTTTTCAGAAGTTCTCTTTAAATTTAAACATTACCAGATGACTTGTCCACATGAGCCATCTTAACAGGCACATTCAAGTTCTGATTATTTTCAATAAATGTGGGGTATTTTATTAACATTTAGTACATCTGTGCTGTTCCTGGTCAAAAATGACCTATTTCTAAGTGGATGTGAGACAGTGGGTATGAAACTGACTGCAGCAGTTGGACATAATTATTCAGCACGCCTTCAGGTGCATTTGATTTTTGAGTAGACACACAAATGTTCCTAATAAACTTAATAATTAACGGTAAACAGGGGTGTGTTATGTATGAATTTATGTTAAAAGAATGTTTAATTTGATTTCAAAACGAGTTGCATGATCTGTGACGTCTAACAGAAGGTCTAAATTTATACGGTTTATAGAAACATAAGCTTTATCTCAGCACTGGATGATAAGTACAACATGGATTTAAAATCAGATCTATTAAAGCAGTTATTTTTTTGATTCAGAACTTGAAACTAGTCGTCCAGGAATGAAAACACCAGAAGGATTCATTCTTCTGAATCGATCCTGGCAGCCATTGAGCAGTTACACACACGCAGTTTTTTATTTATGCAGGTCGTCTCAATGAGCCACAATGACTCATTTTCAAGAAAGACGTTGTAGACAGACAACATACAACAATAAAAATTGATTAAAATAAAAAGTAGTGTTATAAAAGCAATAAAATCAAGGTGACGTATAAACAAGGATAAGAACATATTTGATTAGATTTTTCTAATGACCTTTTCAAATGTTTCCTTAGTTTAAGGCATCACAAAACTCAAAGTGAATGATGCAACAGTCCATCATTGTCTGAAATAAACTGAGGAGTTTTCATGTTTAAATCAATCACTCAATAACCAGGCAGACAGTCAGGACCAGAGACCTTGGCTGGCCCACCGCCCAGCCTCGTCAATACACCCAGTGAGCTAACAGACCCGTCAGTGTTGGGCACCCCACCCAGGGCGTTATTCTCAGAGACGGTTGTTTGGTTCCCCCCATTTGTTTTACACTCCCAGCCTCTAAATGAGCCTCAGGCAAACACCGCACAGTCCTAATGATCAATATGTCTCAATGTCGACACCATCCAGCTGCCAGCTGAAGAGTCCAGGCCATAAATGGTGTCCCACTCTGGCACATAAATGCCCCTCCATGGGTCATTTGTGTCACATATAGTGACAATTTGTTTCTGCCTTTTGACCTGCTTGTTAAAATGTTGTACCCTGGGAAATGTAAATACAGAACTTGTCTTTGCTCTGCAAGCCAAGAAATGATTTATCAAGTTGCATGAGCTAAAATGACAGAACGATATACAGCTTTAATGAGAATATGAACTGCATTCAGCTAAAAGTCATGTTTACGCTGCCTTCAGGAGCAGGCCTTCTTTATAATGGGATTTGCCTAAATTAAAGGTAATAAAATAATTACATTTAGCTTTTAGCTACAACTTTTAGAAAAACAAAAATCAATAAATTTTATGTAAGTTTTATAACTTAATTTATTTATTTATTATTTACACAATGAGGGTTTGTTTTAGCTGTTTCATCTACCATGTAGCTGCTTGTTGTCAGCTAACCAAAACTGCCTAAGGGTACCAGACATCGAAATTAATCTATATTAATGTTTTTTCTTTAGTGCCAATAATCAACAAACTACCCTTGTTACAAAAAAATACTTTGAAACCTGCAGCTTCATTGGAAGGAGTGCACATTGACTCTGGGTTTTTTATGGACATAGAAAATATAAATAAATATTATGTGAAAAACGCAACTGGTAGAGCTGCTGCCTCTCAGCGAGCAGGTCCCTGGTTCAAACCCCGGTCCAGGGGCCTTTCTGGGTGGAGTTTGCATGTTCTCTCCGTGCATGCGTGAGTTTTCTCCGGGTGCTTCGGTTTCTTCCCACAGAACAAAAACATGCATGTTAGACTGATTGGTAACTCTAAATGGTCCCTAGGTGTGAGTGAGAGAGTGAATGGTTGTTTGTCTCGTTTGTCTCTATGTGGCCCTGTGATGGACTTGCGACCTGTCCAGGGTGTACCCCGCACCTCGCACAGTGATTGCTGGACATGGGCACCAGCGACCCCCGTGACCCAAAATGGAATAAGCGAGTAAAGAAAATGGATGGATGGATGGATTATGTGAAAAACTTTCACACATGCAGCAATTGGATATTAGCAAAGTTAGTAAGAAAACTAGCATCTAAATAATCAAATGACAATGTCCAAGTAAATAAATAAATGTACCATTAAATAAATTTACACAGTAAGATAATTAAATGCATATATATATATATAATATATATATATATATATATATATATATATA